TCTCATTCTTCCTTCTAGGCTTGAAGAACTATTAGTACAGAGACAGAAGTCTGAATTACTGTACAAATAGCCTCTCACACTTTAAGGAACAGCAAAGTTCTGAATTCAAATTTCAGAGCATATCCTTTTTTTTCCATGTGTGTTTGAGTCAAGCTTGACTCCTGGCAACCACCTGGACGAGTCCCTGCACTTTTTTTGGCAAGTATCATAAATGATTTGCCACTGCCTCCTTCCTAGAGCTGAAATGTGATTGGCCCAACTCGCTTGGTGCCCAAGGCAGACTAGAACTGACTCCCAGTTTATAACCTGATGACTTAACTACTATACCAAACTGGCCTTCTATCCCTCTTTTTAAACAAAACTACATTCTGAAGACTTGTACAGGTGTCCATTTTCATTTTTTCCAGGAAGTAAAATACAACATGATAAAAGTTATTAGTAAAGGCACAGAAACACAGAATGTAACAACTATTCAGACACTACTTTTTTTCTGAGTTAGGAAACATCATTGAGTATCTGGTTCATAGGTCTTCCTCTCTACCCTCTGCTAGGTAAAGAGGTCTCTCTGGAGATTAATGTATGAAAATGCATTGTTTTATATTCTACATTTATGCCTTTGGTGTTTGAACCTTAACTCAAACTCAAACATGTACCTTTTCACATCCAACTTGCTCCCTCTTAAGTCAGATAACATTAATCAGCAGATAAAGAAAATATTTGCAAAGTGCAAGATATTCACAAAACAGAATATCTAATGATCAAGATCAGATCTAATAATCTGAAGGTCTGCACTAAATAATTAACCTTACAACTTAGTTGTTGTTTTAAAGAAACTTTGTGCGAATGCAAAATTTATGTTCAGGTTTTGTTTCACATTTCTTAAATGTAAAGGGAAAAAAAAATTTTTTTCATTTGGGCTATGCTTTTTAAAAAAAATTGAAACACACAGGACCATTCACACAGAATCTGTCAGAAACTTTTCAAAATAGCCACACCTTTTCCCTGTCCTCTACAATTACATAAGAAAAAAATGCAGTTGGTTTATGGAATTGCCAGCAAGTGCTGAATACATACCCACTCATCCTCCACAGAACCTTTTATTTACTTCAACATTGCTGAAGTGATTCACACAGAATAATAAAACAGAGACTTGTGTCTGTATTTCAAAGAATATATAATATTAGGGATATAAGTATATTAAAACAGAAAATATCTTAAATATGCTGAATCTTAAATAATTCTTCCTTCTACCGCAAACCTATTTCATTCTTCAAATTATAATATGGATTACTGCACTATTATACACAGGAGGATATATATTTATCAATATCTTATAATTAATAATGTTTGAATTACTTCAGTTGCATTTCAGGGACATCGTCAATACTGACATTAATAGAAGCTCCCTTCATCATTTGAAGCCAACAATATGCCAACAGTGGCATATTGTTCCTCTGTATTTCTCCCAGGAAATTTTTTCAAGCTGAGGGACTCTCTAAGACAAGACACAGAGTATATACAAAGAAAGTGCAAGTAATGGGATATCTGTTCATGAACGTTGGACATCATATTTGTATAGCTGTTCCATAGAGTTCAGGGCAAAATAAATGCTTGATCTCATTTCATCCTCACATAACTCTAAGAGAGAGTCAACTGAGAGAATGATTGCCTTGGAATATTCAGCAAACTATGTAACTGAGTGAGATAGGTCAAATTTCAAATTCCTATTATATTTTGGAGAGCTACATGAAAACAAATGTAACTGGAGACAACTCCAACTATACAGACTGGTTTAACTGTTTATAGTAATGACCCTGCAGTCCATCTATGTTTTATCTTAAGTCAGTGTTTCTCAACCTTGGCAACTTGAAGATGTCCAGACTTCAACTCCCAGAATTCCCCAGCCAGCGAATGCTGGCTGGGGAATTCTGGGAATTGAAGTCCGGACATCTTCAAGTTGCCAAGGTTGAGAAACACTGACTTAAGTGTCACATACTCTACCTATGCTGCTCATGAACATCTCCCATTTATTTCAGTTGACATCAAGACATGAAGCCTACTCAAATCACTTTTACCAGTTAAGCTCAAATGAATCTGTTAAATATATAATAATGTATATTGTGCACTACAATCTTAGAAAATATTCTGTGTACTGATTCCAGGTCTTACAGGAACTTAAGACTCCAGGTAAAAGAACATTGTAAAAATAAAGAGGAATGGCAACCATTTCATAGCCATCCTAAGGAAATCATTATACACGCTGAGCTGGCATACTGTAACTGCTACCAGGATAATGTATGCATCTTCCTGGAAATGCTATGCAATACTCTGATTAGAAGAATGACAGTTTAATCTCTAGAAATATACATCAATGTCCAAAATACTCCTACATGAGAATCTCAAAGTTGCTTTTTCAAGAGGCAACTGGACTTTCTGGTTTTTCTTTGAAGACATTTCACTTCTCATCCAAGAAGTTTCTTCAGCAGAGACCTTCTTGGATGAGAAGTGAAACATCTTCAAAGAAAAACCAGAAAGTCCAGTTGCCTCTTGAAAAAGCACCTTTGGGACAACCATGACCTGGATGAGTGATAATTTCCATAGTCGTACATGAGAAGTTTACTAATTTCAATTTAACCTGGAAACTGTTAATGTAGAACAAATATGTACATTGCTTGCCATCACACCCAAGGTTTCAATCGTCTTAAAAAAAGAGTTCTTGATGTTTTAACTGTGATTTTTATTTATATTGTATGGATTTCTCAGCTAATCTAAAGTTTGACTTTAATAACAGTTAAATATAACAGTTTTGAAAGTGCTAAAATGTTAAAATGTTGTGAAACTATCTTTATCTTGATTTCAATCTGAGGTGATATATAAGAATTAATGTGTTTTTCCCCAATGGAATAGTTTATCTTATACTACTCTGCAGATTTTTCCATATAATATCTATATTCTATGTATTTTCTTCTCTTTTCTTTTAAAATATTTTTACAAGAAAATCATGATAATATTCTAAAATTATCTACTTGCAAAATAGTATAAACCACAAGTGAGCCACAATTACATCTCTTTGCCCTAGGTTTGGTTGCTCCTTTCTAGTTATTCTTATAAATATTTGAAGATAGCTATCCCAAATGCTCTCAGATCCATGAAAACATCCAGAATAAACTTAACTCCTAAAACCAAATCTCTTTAGAGCCATTAATACTGTCTATTGGTCTAAAAAATGTTACAATGTCCTAAAAATCAAATTGTTTTATTTAGGAGTATTTGCTCTGTTGAGAATAGTTTTCATATCAGGCAATGTATGGTCGGTTGAAATCTTACCTATGCTATAGCAGCAGAATTCCTCTGCCCCATATTTTCACATTTTGAATCTTTCATCTATCAAGGAGAAAATAGGCAGTAAAGAATTCCAAACATTAGTGTACCCATCCAAATTTAAATGTTTGTCTGGATCCCTACACTGTAAGTTACCTCATCAATGATACTGTAAAGAAAAGGTACTTGTACTTGTACTTGTAGCCTCTTCACCCATCGTGGGTATAGGCGACTTCCATGGAAATTTGACGCCACTGTTTTCGGTCCTGTGCTAGGGTTGTCAGGTGGTGCAGCCAGTCGCTATTATATGATTTTCGGCTCAGATTGAATGGGCGCATGACTATATCTTCGGCTTTCCAAACGGCAATCCATGGAAGCTGTTTCGGCTGGATATACCCAAGGGGGCGCCAGTCCCAAGGGTCGACAGAGCCCGATTGGTGGGAACGGGGGGTACCACGTGAAGGCCGGGTTGTCGTTTGATAGCTGAGAGGCTTTGCAATAAGCGTTGCAATGTATATTTTGCGCATCAGCTATCCTGATGCGCAAAATATACATAAAATATAAAATAAATTAACAAAATTTAGGACAACAATGCACATGTGTGTGTATATATATGTGTGTGTGTGTGTGTGTGTGTGTGTGTGTGTGTCTATTAGTACCCAGTAAATTGTCTTCTTCCATGATTTGAAAAGTACAGTTCTCCTCTGTATTATTTACTCCTACATCAGATTTTAGGTATTATTTACTTTTTCCATGCATTAAAATAAATGTACTACAGTACCCTGCTTTGGAAACTGGAAAGCAAGCCAAAATCACACACCAGGGCCTTGCCTGGGTCTTCAGTGGACAACACTGGTGCAACAGAAAGTTCAGAAACCAGAGGAAAGGGAACAAGGAGGAGACAAAGTACATTCCATCCATACCTTCCGTCCAATAAGTTAAGACAATTTCAGGATCACCTGAACTTCTTAAAATTGGCTAGTGGGCACCATAGGGCAGCAAGAATGGCCACAGTGTCCCGAGAAAACCTACAGAGGGTCGGAAGGTCTGATACCAATATGAAGTTTGCTTGTTTCTTTAAATAAAAAAAAAGCATGGCTGTGGAGTGTATGCTTCAGCTTCAACACTCAGGTAACGCCGGCTCAGGTTTAATGTTAACAATAATTATGAAATAATATCAAAGAGATTAAGCTATCTCCCGGGAGGGGAGCTGGAGGCCAACGATGGCCCGGGACTTCTTCCCCACTACAGTATCCTGCTTTACATGAACGATATTCCTCTCCCCCCCCCCCCAAACCAGGCGCTGCCAGGGTGACCTCATTCCCTCCGCGGCCTTCTTCGGGTCGCCCAAGTCATTCCTGTTCGGGGCTTCCCTCTCGAACTCCAGCCGAGGCTCCTTTTCGGGGGGGGGGGGCCAGCGGCGTCTCCCAACTCCGCGTTCACTGGCTACGCCGTTTCATGTGACCGCCGAACAAAAAAACCCTCCTCAGCGCAGCGGCTCCTTTGTGCCCGGCCCAGTCCGACCCGTAAGAAGATTTGTGGAGGAAAGCAAACCGGGGCCCCGGGGGACTCCTTCGCCTTTCCACACCCCTAAGTCTTCAAAAGGCCGGCCTAGTTTCCCAAGCCACCTCTGCCAAGGCGCCGTTTCCTCCCCCCCCCCCCGGCTCTCGGCTACTTACCTCCAACGGCCCAAGCCCGGCCTGGTCGAGCCCCTTTGCCGCACCAGCGGCAGCCGCCATGTTCTCTGATGCGACAGGATGGAGTCAAGACCCCCCCCCTCTTCTCCCCGCTCTGCCTCCTCCCTTTCGCGCGCGCATTCCATTCCAACCTCTTCTCGCTCCTGGCTCCCCGCGCGAGGTTCCCTCCCTCCGCCTTC